TCTTCAAGACTAAACTGGCATAATGCGAGAGGTGTTCGACGTGCCATAACAATCCGTTCTTCGGTAAAGGAGAAAGGCGTTATCACCAACCGTATTAACTTAGCACTACCACAAAGATGATAATGCGGGTCTCCTACTAATTTCGTCAAATGTTTAATTGGTAGACAATAGTGCCAATGATTTTATTCTTGTCACTGTAGGGGGTAAGTTTTCGTTTAGCTCGGAAATCAATCATATTAAGACACTCATTATTTTGTCCCCTTTTACTGACGAAAATAAAGCAAACTATTTACAACAAATTAGTTTCGTTTTGGAGTGAAAACTGCCATTAGAGATTTCAATTCCCAGTCCAATGATAGCAAAACGAGTTCTGTAACTCAAATAGTTCGTTGAGAAGCGTTGAAATAGGCTCGGTCATGGTTGAGTCGAATTTGCAATTCGAAAAAAATCTCGCAATTCTAACCCTTTAAAGTTTGTGAGAAAACTGCCAACATCTCCAAAGACATGATTTAACTCCTAAAAGTACCTACCAATTACTTCTCTTATCCAGTGTTGTAGAAATGGGCGCTTTAGTTCAATCTGTTCCGCAGAAAGAAGCAAAAAGGTGGCGGATAATATGAAATTTTCACTCAATCTTGCACCTAAACGGCCGATAATCAAATTTCGTTTTGTTCGTTTCGTTCAACTTTCGCGCTCACGATGCTCCAATTCTGTATACAATGATACGAAAAAGAGCTCTGCGGCTCAGTGATTCTTGAGAAACCACGATAAAGACACGGTCATGTTTGAGTCGATTTTGCAATTTGACGAAAAACGCGCAAAACTAACACTTTCCTGAAAAAACCGACATAATTTCTCAAGCGATTTTTTACCTACTAAACGCACTAATTGGTGCTCCAGCTCAATTTGTGATTAAGAAATGAGGAAGAAGGTGGCAGTAACCATGAAATGTTGGCCAAATTTTGCACGTTAATGTCTGGTTTTCAAATTGCCGTTTCTTTACTCGCACTCCATTTACTGAATTGAGCTTCCAATTCTCCATAAAATGATAGGACAACCAAACTATTTGTTTTAAATGGTTCATGAAAAACGGCGAAAAAATAGGCAGCATGTTTAACTCGATTTTGCAATTCTAAAAAACTGCGCAAAAAAGTGAGTCAAATGAATATACCTAGGGTAGACCAGGGCCAAAAGTAATATTTTCGGTTTGCGGGATGTAGTAATTAGAACTTAGCGTCAATTGTCGAATTCGTGGATTACATCATTAAATGTATCTACATTTAATTATAACCTTCATTATCTTAAAGAGGTATAAAAATTATGTTCTCGGTTGCAAACCCGCTGCAGCTGTCTCGTACCCAATGGCAATTGTAGCAAGATTTGGGGACAAAAGTAACACTAATTTTCTTCGGGTTTTCACTGGATTGCGTATTGAAAAAAAAAATGCTATTTTGCTATAGTAAAGAACATAGATTTTAGGTTTTGATACGTATCTACATAATGATATACTTTTCAGCATAAAAATACGTTCGTTTTGTAAGAGCACGTAAACCCTGTCAAAGATGTCTGATCGAACTATAGGATCAAAAGATCGTCGCTGTTAATTTTGTTCCCGGTCTAACAATTTTATTTTAATTCTGCCAAGAAAATACCCTATTTCTTCATCAAAAAAAATATAAAAGAGAGTTCTCAATAACAATTCATGGACATCATAAAGTTATTAGTTTCGACGAGTTCTGAGGTAGTAATTTGGAAATAAAATAACTAAGCAACATAGAATAAATCCAAACCATTAAACATGGAAACCAAAATGAAGAAAAGTACCCCAATTAAATAAAAATATTGTAACTACAACAAAATAGTAAAGAAGTTCTCCACTACGTCTCCGAGAGAAAAGCTTTGTTAAGTTGAGAAAAAAGTTAACTTGGGAAAAAGTGTTAAGGAATTTAACGTTAAGAAATAATTCCTCCGTGAAACCATGGGCGCAAATCGTGCGTTTATAATAACTTATTCACTTTAGCCGCTGATGACACTGTCCAGCTTAGAAACCTGCGGCCTCCGGGCCTGTAGGACGCTGACGATGAGCCCTTCTTCAAACCACACACGATGCTCATTTGCACACGAGATACTTTTGTTCGTTTTCAATTTTTCGTCTTCTCAGCGCAATGGACATCTGCTCATTTAACAAATTTTACCACCCGCAAGCACTGCTTTATTTAATAGTTTCACGACAGAATGAGCAGTTTACAGCATTAGGTATTCTTAGTGGAATTCGGGTCAATTCGTTAGATGTTATTTCAAACCTGGCGTTTACCAAAAGAAACTTTTAATGAGATATTTGCACAGTTTACTAACTTCTTTATGAATAATGCGTTCCTTATTGCTTCACCTGCATGAACAACCAAAAAGGGCAATGAGGCACTAAATTATTTCATTTTATGGTTGATACCAACAGTTGCAGTTTTAAGCTTAGAAAACGTAGCGCTACATTTCGGCAGAGACTATGGTTCATACCATCCAAGAACGAACGAGTACGTCAAATAACGTGACTATCACGTGCTGTGGGTGGGCACTTTTGTACAAAATACCATGCACTTTTGAGAAAACTGCCAACATTTCCCCATCCATGGTTCACTTTCTAAAAAC